AGCTAAGAGTTAAGATTAAATATTAACTTAAAGGAAATTCTGTTACATATCACTTGGAGATCATTCTCACCTAGTAATGTACCACAGGTAATCGCTTGCATCTCTTGTGACATTCATCTGGTCCAAGAGACCTAGAGCAGTCATTGTGGAGCTATCATCTAGAGAAGAAATATCTTCATCATAACTCTCCCATGAGAAGATCTCAGTATTTGTTGGCAACATCTGCATTTGCGATGTCTGAACTCCGACCTGGAGTGAAGGAATGGGACTAATTGTCATGTAGGAAAGGCTTTAATATCATATAGAAAGAATCTCCTCTCCCTAAAGTTGTGTCTCAATTCTTAAACTACTAAACTGGTAACATGGAATTTCAGTCATGTCATGAAATCCTTACCTTTGCAGTATTAAAGACTACGTTTCTGCAATCAGGAAGGATGCTGATTGACCAGGGAGGCAAGTTATAGTGCATGTTGTTGAATAACACCCTTGCAGCAGATTTTGTATCATAGTTGGACAGAAAAGCTGCACAATGTCCTGATTCAGAAGTATATATGTATGCCTGAAAAAATCCCCAACGTTGACAGGACTCAGTAAACTGTAAAATATCGTGCAACTGGTGCTGGAAAAAGAATTTGAAGTAGAAGTACAAACCTGTTGGGAGCTCCCTAGTGAAGTAATAATTGGATCTGCTGAAACTAAAGCTTGCTCACACATCTTAATAGACTTATGGAGCTCCTTGAGATGACCGTACTTTGGCTGCCTGATCAAGCCTGTTAATTTTTCACAGAAGGCAGAGTAAGCTAATGTGCAAATACAGTATGGTTGAGGCATTTGTCCTTAATTTGCGTGGTAAAAGAATAGGCTTAAGAATTGAGGTAAGTTTTGATTCAAGTCTTAACAAGAAAAAGCTAAAAAACTATGTTCGTCAGCATGCATTAAGCATTTCAAATGTGAATCTATATTTTTGTGAACCACAAATCTCCTGTTACCAAAATGAATCCAGGCAATGTTGCAAAGTTATTCAGGCAACAAAGCAATACACCACTGTGAGATCTACTCATAAGAATTCTGGAAATGGAACCTTTCAGCAGAATAAACTCTTTACAAAAAAAAGGGCATATAAATAACATTTCTCACCATATTCATCTATTGGAGCATCATAATCATAGCTTGTGGTGACAAAAGGACCTCCAGCCGTGCGGCCAAAATTGGTTCCTCCATGGTACTGTTTAAATTATTGGACAAAGCAGCAAGGCTAGGCACAAATTAGGCATTAATCCTATTTTAAATCATCAATACCTTTAGGTGAAGAAAAAACTAACCATGTAGTAGTTAACAAAGGATCCTCCATTTTGTATGAATCGAGCAACAGCAAACGCCAAGTCTTCAACTGGCCGCTGGTGAATGGGACCACCAAACTCTGTGAACCTTCTTGCAAAAAAAAAAGCCATTAAATGACTTATTCGAAATTCATATTATTATTTTTTAAAATGGAATTACAAAACAAAAGAGCATGATACACTTACCATCCACTCCAAGTCTCTGTCCAAATTGTTGGCTTGTAAGGTTTGTTAGGGGTGAATTTATGACAGTAGAAACCATTGCAGGTGTTTATCTGTCAAAGATGCCAGGAAACTTCCTTAGGCAATCCCATGCTAAATTCAACAGTTCAGCCAAAAAGAAATAGCGAAGAGACATAATTCAAAGGTAAAATGAACTCATAAAGAATTAAACATTGATCTTCAAAGAGCCAAACTAAGGAAGCTAAATGTAGATCTAATGCCTCTTTCCTTACCACTGGATCTGGGGCATCTTGTTCCTTGCACATCACCCAGGGGACCCCAGTTCCTGTTTCCACAGCCATTTTTGCAGCCCAATTTATATAATTATAGCCAGTAGCTCCTAGTAACTTGCTCGTTGCTCCATATTCATTCTCAATCTAAGTCATACCAAAAAAGAGAATTTTTTTTTTTTTAAAAAGGTGGTTATCATCATTGTAATTTGAACTTGGAAAAATATAAAGTTTCATAATTTTGCATCTTAAGATGGAAAATAGAAAGAAGTACTATGAAGCAAAAATAAGCCCAGAAAAAATTAAATGGAAAGTCAAAGATGAAAAAAATATACCTGGGAGAGTATAATGGGGCCACCCTGGGACTCAAACAGATTTTCACTTTTCATCAGTCCCACAATTTTCTCAGTGAACCCTTGCATTTCCCTCTGCCAAAAAAAAAAAAAAAGTGTCGGTCCTCAGTTTTTTCTTTTCCTTTTTTTGGGCTAGAAAATAGTCTCTACTTTCTCCAGAATATACTAAATTGTCAGTGATTCAGAGAAGGCTGAGAAAAGAAATGTAAGGAAGAAGAAGGGCAGATGGAAGACTTTGAAAGGCTCATTGTCTGTTCTGAAGCTGATGCCTGGCACATACTTTAGCCACACAGGAAACCCCCTGCACAAGGTAGAACATTAAAGATTAAGAAAACAGAAATGAACTAAATTAGCAGAAAAGGCACAGACCAAAGAAAATGAAGAAAAACGCATGCAATGGGGTGGAGGTGAGTTAGATCTTACCCAAAATTCCACTCTGCACAAACATAGGGGCCAATGCGAAGATGAGCATAGAGCCCTGCTTTCTGTATTGTCTTTATGAACCTGACTAGATCATATCTCCCTTCAAAATTGTACTTAAATTTTGCAAGAGAAATTGAAGAAGAAAACAAAAGTTAGAAACCCAAGTTCAACAAACAGAGAAAACAGAGAAAAATGGTGTCAAAAAGTTGAGTACATTTCCAGGAGAAGGCTCATGAACATTCCAAAAAACGTAGGTCTCAATCACATCCAGTCCTCCATCCTTGGCCTTCTGTATCAGATCCTCCCACATCTACAGCACAGACGCATCCCATTTTCTCAACAAAAACCAAACACCGACACGGAAAACAGAGAAATGGGAAAAGATTTTGGTACCTCAGGGGTGCTTCTGGGGTAATGAATGGACCCAGAAAAGAGAATTCTTCTCTGTCCATTGATTAACAACGCCTTCCTATCATAACTAACGCTGCACTGAATCACTTGAGAACCCAAAAACAAAACCCAACAAAATTCAAGAAAAAGCTTGGAAACCGAGCTAGTTTCCATCATTCAAGCACTCCCAATATCACTTTGAACTTTGATCAAACACCCAGAAAGCAACCACAATATAGAAGGAAAAGGCCTGTGGCTATGGTAGAGCAAGAGTCTAAAATGGAGAAACAAAAGGGTCCATAGTCACAGCCTCACAGGTCTGAGAGAAGTGAGACTTTAAGGAAAAGAAAATTTATAAGAGGAAAGTTCATCAATACATTGTCTGTACAGTTTTCACTCCTCACACCTCACAGGTGTCAAATCATAGCCATCACTGCAATAAAAAAAAAGGAAGAAAAAACATAAAAACATTAAATTCAGCAACTTTTATAGTTTATACAGTTCTTTTATTATTATTATTATTATTATTATTATATATTAATTAATTAATAATTATTCTAACATATATTTTAAATAAAAAATATTTTTAACATAAATTTATATTAAAAAATAAAAACAAATATTCAATTTAAAAGCTATCTAATTAAATTTATTCACTTCATATTATTATTAGTATTAAAATTGATGTATTAATCCTTATATTTTTTTATATGTATTTATGATAAAAAAATTCTTAAATTAATATTACTGGGGAGTGTTGTTCACGCGTTAACAGAATCTGAGAAAAAGTCTCCAACATTAATTATCTTTACGTTTTCTTCACTTTGGTTTGTCCTGAGTAATGAAGGGACGATCTTGCCTTCTGGATTTTCCTCAAAGATCAAAATTTTAAGTTGAAGTTTTAATTTTTACGAATTAACTCCAGATTTTGGCAACTGGGATCGGCGGGTGGCAGACATCTTTCCTGTGTTAATTGCAGCACCGGCACCGCTTTCCGCCATACCAAACTGACGTAGAGCAGATCAACATTTACTATGGGATGAATGTAAATCCCCATTTCAACCTAGAAAGATTACAGGAGCAACCGACAGCAGTCTATGAACAAGAGTAGGATCTGGGGTTTGACTTGTAAATGAGTGGATTGACCAAGGGTATTGTAGTAAAAAGGAGGGAGGAGGCAGGGACAGAGAGGACCCCCTGCACGTCCATGTGAAAGCAGAAGGTCCAATGTTTGCTTCTTGATGACACAAATAGCACTCTGCCTTTCCTGTCTTACTTTAGGAATGGAAAAGAAATCCCAATTCCACTTCTCCTTCTCCTCTTCTTTCTGATAATCTCATCATTCATTGCATTTCTATGTTTGACCTTCTTTCAAAATTATTAAACGCTACAATTTCTATCATGTCAAATGGAGAAATTAATCTGGCATAAT